TAACAGCACTTCTGTAATCCCAACACTTGGTCAGTGGAAGCAAGATTTGAATTGGAGGCCAGCTTGGGCCATACAACAAGATCCTGTCTCAAAAAAATAAAAAGTGTCACTTATGGCCCACTTCAGTCACCCCACTCCTCCTCCCACACACACAACTTCAATTCCCCTAGTCAGGCATCCAGCTCATTGGAAGAGAGGAGCTAGCCCAGAAAAGAAGCCAAGAGGTTACCTTGAATCTTATCTGCTAGACTCCAATCTATAGTCTGAAAGACAGGTGCCAGGGCCTCACGAAAAAGGTTTTTCTTAATACTGTTGTGAATGGTGTGTCCTAAAATATAATACATGTGTCCAATACAATACACATTATTTTAAAATAAAAAAGCATTCTTACAAGAGAATTAAAAAGGATTACCAGTCCTTGAGTACAAGTCAGTAGTGCCAACTTCTTTAACAGGTTTGCAAGCTGAAGTTCCAAGATGGGATTTGAACCTATGATCTCCACTGCCAAAGAGCTGCTTCTGCAACTGTGACTGCAACCCTCTAGCCGCTGGACCCCGCGGAACCAGCAACCAATAGGAACACAAGTCAAAGGTCTCAGAACAGCCTCTAAACAAGCCAGAAAAATCTCGGTACCTTGGAAGAGCTTTAGCTAGGCAATCTCGCGGTAGCCAATGAGGGCTCAGAGAAGGGTTTGATAACTCCCTGTCCATCTTGGAGCCAATCACTGCTCCGCAGGCGCCATCCTCTGTCTCTGTTGCGGCTCAGTTCTTTTCACAGTGCCACGTTAGCACTTTCACAATACCCGACCCCTTGCCCATAGTACCTCCCGCAGCCACGTCTCGCAGTAGTATGTTCCAGAGAGTCACTGTCTTGTCATTGACTCCATTCCCACCCACACATTTTCCTGGTACAAGTATGCTACCTACAAATGGCTGCTTCCGGTAATGCCAGATTCACCTGAAAAACACAACCTGACTTTATCGTTGTTCTCACAGTCGCCCCACCTCTAATCCTCCAATGGGCCGTCCAACTACCGCCTCCCGATTACAGGAGTGTGTCACCACACCTGGCAACCAGAGGATCTTGACAGCATCTAGCTTCCCTCCACCCCCATGTAGAGAGCCGTTCCCAAAATAGACATTCAATCTGCGGGTGAAAGTGAGCTTCTTTGTATTTGTGGAATGTCAGCACCACTAGGGCAGGGAATGTGAAATTCTAAATTCCTTGATGTCTCCCCAGCACCTATAACAGCCCTGCACAGAGAAAGTACTCAAAAGGCAGTTTGGGGACTGGAGATATGGCTCAAAGGTTAAGAGCACCACCTCTTGCAGAGGACCCAGTTCTGTTCCCAGCACCCATATGGCGGCTAATAACCCTCTGTAACCCCAGTTCCAGTAGATCCGATGCCCTCTTTTGACCTCTGTGACCACTGCACAGCATGGGTGCACTTACATACATGCAGGCAATACACTCATACACATTTTTTTTTTAATTAAATTTTTTTAAAGGCAGTCTGGCCAGGTGTGGCAGCACACACCTTTAATACCGGCATTTGGGAGGCAGAGGCAGGCAAATCTCTGTGAGTTGGAGGCCCACCTGGTATACACAGGGACTTCCAGGCCAGCTGATGCTACAGGGAGCCCCCATCTGAAAAGGACCAAAATAAATAAAAGGCAATCTGCTGAATAATGATTTCTTTGGCCTCACAATTCCACTTCTATTTGTTTTTTATTTTATTATCTATTTATTTATTTAGACACAGGGTCACACTATGTGACCCTGGCTGGCCTAGAACTCACTATGTAGGCCAGGCTGGCCTTGAATTCACAGATATCTTCCAGTCTCTGCCTCTCAAGTGCTGGGTTGAAAGGTGTGGGCCGCCAGGACCAGCTGTTAGTTGTTTTGTTTTGTGAGGATTTGCTATGTAACCCAAACTGGCTTGGAACTCCAGATCTTTCTGTCTCTACCTCAGTGCCAGGATCACAGGTGTGCAGCACCATGCTTAACCCACATTCCACTTATAAATATGTGTTCTAAGGAAATAATCACACATGTGTGCATAGGGGTGTGTGTGAAAGAAATAGGAGGAACCAACAACTAGGGAGAAAGGGCAAATGAATATGATAGAGTGCCAGCTGGCAGTGAAAAAGATTGTCCCAGATGCCCCAGGGGCATTGCACCTTTACACACAGAATAGGAAAGAACTCAGCAATCGTGCCCAATGACATAGAAGCCAAGAGGCATCTGAAGAAGGATTTCACATTCAGCACAAACCATAAAACAACCCAGAGGCTTCTGACCCAAGACAAAAGAAGCCAACAAGAAGGTGGCCACCACCCAAGTTGGCTCCTTAAACCTAAACAAGAGCTGTAGGACAAAATAAACCTCTTTCCTTTATAATTTATACTGTCTGTGGCATTGAATTATGAGCAACAAAAACCAACTAAGACACTGCAGATGCTTTTTATTTTTTAATATTTTATTATTTAGCCATGATGTGGATGCTGGGAATCGAACCCGGGTCCTCTGGAAAAACAGCAAGTGTTCTTAACCGCTGTCATCTCTCCAGGCCCCCTTATTACATAAATGGTTTTCCAAAGTAATTGCATCATTTTCTACTTCCACCAACAGTGTGTAAACCATTACTTTTTTTTTTTTTTTTTGAGACAGGGTCCCACTTTTAGCCCTGGCTGGCCTGGAACTCCATATGTAGACCAGGCTGGCCTCAAATTCGCCAGTCTCTGCCTCCAGAGTACTGGGATTAAAAGGCATGCTCCACCACACCCAGCTAATTACTTCTTTTTAGTTGGAGTTTTACAGTATTATTCAGGCTGTCCTTGAACTTTTGGGCTCAAGCGATCCTCCTACCTTAACCTCCAGAGTCAAGGGAACTACCGGGTCCCACTTATATTCTTTTTAATTACCCATCTGTCAGTTGGAGAAATGGCTCATCAATGTTTAAGAGCATGTACTGCTCTTTCAGAACACTGGAGTTCAATTCCCAGCAATCATGTGGGGTGGCTCACAACTGCCTGTAACTACAGATCCTGAGAAATCAGATGCCTATGGCTTCCATTGGCACCTGCATTCACCTGCACATACTTCACACACACATACACATAATTTAAAAATAAATAATTTTCAGTCACACTTTTAATTCTAGCACTTGGGAGGCAGAGTCAGGTAGATCTCTGTGAGTTCCAGGCCAGCCTGGTTATTATGGAAATAGAAGAGCAAGTCAGATGCCAAAAGCTTTGCAATGTGATGGTAATTAAGAACTCTGCAGCAGGGAAAGCCTAGAGGTAGAACTGGGGAAGTAAAGGGGAATCTTCCCCTACCCCCAAGGTTATCTATGATAGAAGTCTTTGTTTTCCAAAACTGTCACATTCCTGTAACCTTTGAATTTCTATTACCTTTGCAGCCCTATGTTATCTTAATTACCATGTATATGTTATGTACCTTTTGCTTGCAATCCTCACATGAGTATAAAAACCCTCCAAAACATGAACAAGGGGTCTGACTCCTTTTATTGGTGGGGTCTGGGGTCAGTCCCACTGGCATCAAATTAAACTTCCTCTCCTCACATGACTTAGGCTGTTGGTCTCTGATTTTTCTGTAACATGGTCTACATAGTGAGTTCCAGATCAGCTGGGGCTACTAGGAGACCCTGTTTCAAAAAGATCAATAAATAAATAAATAAATTTCAAAAATGTACCTATCCGGGGCTGGAGAGATGGCTAAGTGGTTAAGAACACTGGTTGCTCTTGCAGAGGACCTGAGTTCCATTCCCAGCACCCACATCGTAGCTAACAATTGTCTGTAACTCCAGTTCCAGGGGATCCTACACCCTCTTCTGACCTATGGGCATTGCACAACATGGGTGTACTAACATATATGCAAGCAATACACTCATACGTGTAAAACAAAATAATAAAATATTCAAAAAATATATCCATCTTATATTATGTGCTGTTCCATTTGTGAATTGATTTTTCTTTTCCCTGATGGGAACTGAAGATCTCTCACATGTTTGCTGAGCATTCTATGGTGTGCTTGTTCCAGTCTTCTACTCACTTGTCTACTGGTTAGAAAAGATTTTTTAAAACATTTTATTTATTACTTTTATTTTAGATGTATAAATGTATTGCTTGCATGTAGGTAGGTATGCCCGTGTCACGAGTGCCTGAGGAGGTCAGAAGAGGGCGTTGGACTCCCTGGAACTGGAGCTACAGACAATTGTTAGTCACCACATGGGTGCTGGGAATAGAACCGGAGTCTCTCCAAGAGCAGTCAATGCTCTTAACAGCTGAGTCATCTATCCAGCCCCTAGAAAATATTTTTTTTATTTAATTATGAGCCAGGCATGGTGGCACATGCCTTAAATCCTAGCACTTAGGAAGCAGAGGTAGGTGGATCTCTATGAGATCAAAGCAGCCTGGCCTACATAGCGAGTTCCAGGCCAAATGGGGCTACAGAGAGACGCTGTCTAAAAAAAAACCCAAAAATATTTAGTTAGTAGTTAGGCATTGCGTTACACATCTGTAGTACTATAACATAAGAGGCGGAGGCAAGAGGAACAATCCTAGCCTAAGCTACCATAGGGAGATCCTATCTCAAAAACACAAGACAAGGGCTATGGATGTAGTTCAGTTGGTATAATGCTTGTCTACTATTCAGGAAGTCCTGAGTTCAATCCCTGGCTCCTCATAAGACTGGGTATGGTGGCATACTTCCCACCAGGCTACCTAGAATTGTCTCAAAAACAAACTATGTAGGGGCTGGAGAGATAGCTCAATAGTCAAGAACACTGGCTGCTCTTGCAGAGGACCCGAGTTCAGTTCCCAGCATCCACATAGTGGCTAACAACCATCCTAACTCCAGTTCCAGGGGATTTGATTCCCTCTTCTGACCTCTGCAGGCATGGCACATCATGGGTACACTTACATACATACAGGCAATACACTCATACACATAATATAAAAATAACAAAATTGTTTTAAATCACTCAGACTGTGTTCTCTCCCTCTAACTCCACTAGAGGCAAAGCAGAACAATCATTAATGGCAAAAGACAGCTGCCTAAGAGCAACACCCAAGCCAGCTTCATGCTCGGGAGAGAACACTGTATCTCTTCCTCATGGTTTCTGGCACATAGTCAGAGAAACTTCTCTAGTAACAAATTATAGAAATGATCCCTGAAAGTACAGTATTTTTAAAAAATTGTTTTTATTTTATGTATGAGTGTATTGCTTGCATGTAGGTAGGTGCACCCCTGTCATGCAATGCCTTCGGAAGTCAGAGGAGGGCATTGGATTTCCCTGGAATTGGAGTTACAGACGGTTGTTAGCCGCCATGTGGGTGCTAGGACCTGAACCCAGGTCCTCTGTAAGAGCAGCCAGTGCTCTTAACCACTGAGCCATCTTTCCAGCCCCAGAAAGTATAGTCTTAACAAAAATTAAAAAAAACAACAACAACAACAACAACAAAAAAAACGCGACGAGCGTGGTGGTGCACGCCTTTAATCCCAGCACTTGGGAGGCAGAGGCAGGTGGATCTTTGTGAGTTCGAGGCAAGCCTGGTCTACATAGTGAGTTCCAGGACAGCTGGGGCTACAAGGAGACCCTGTCTCAAAAAGACAAAAAAGAAGAAAGAAAGAAAGAAAGAAAGAAAGCAAAAACAACAAAAAGATTAAGTTTAATACTACATAGGACTGAATAATGCTGAACCTTTTTACACTTTTTAAAAACACTATGTAAAACCAGGAGACGTGGTGCATGCCTCTAATCCTACAACTCAGGAGGCTGAGGTAGGAGGATTTCTAGTTAAAGACTAATCCATGATATATAACAAGACCCACTTAAAAAAAAAAAAACAGCTGTGTATGGTGGTATATGCCTTTAATCTCAGCACCTGGGAGGCAAAACAAAAGGGCAGATCTCTTTGAGTTCAAGGACATCCTGGTCTACATAGGAAATTCCAGGCCATCCAGGGTTGTGTAGTGAGACCCTGCCTCAATTTTTTTAAAATCGCTGGCCAACATTTAAACAGATTCTCAAGTCAGGTATTGTGGCACATGCCTATAATCCCAGCACTTTGGAAGTGAAGGGAAGAGGATCAAGAGTTCAAGGTCATCCTTGCCAACATAACAAGTTTGAGGCTATCCTCAGCTACATGAAACCCTGTCTCAGAAGAAAAACTAACAAGAAAGTTCTTGCACTTGCTAGCATGCTCGAGGTCTTGAGTTCAGTCTTCAGTACCACAAGAAAAAGAAAGTAGAAGACGCTATTAAATTCAGTGACTGTTGTTGACCTACTAGATCTTTGCTCCTGGATAGTGACAGTGGACTGCCACTGGTATGGCTGATCCTCTGGATAGGTCATGGGCTCCCATATGATGCCCGAGCTCACTGCCAGGTAGGCTTCCTTCATGAGAGCACATGATTCTCTAGGCACTTGAGCTTGGGACATGCTGGAGCAGCCACCACTGCCTCTAACTCTTCTATCTCTTTCTTCATTTTCTGCTAACTGAACTCTCCGAAAGCCTGCAGAGGTCAGGGAGAAGTGTGGGCAAATATTTCTCTAACTTCAGCCAGAGATTCGGAAATCGCTCCCACATTCTTCAAGCTCTGGATGGACCCATGGCTCTCAGGCAAGTGTCCCATCACAGCTACTCATATTGCCCTGATGCCCAGAGTCCTATGTACTCCAATTTCACCTAACTGTACTGCTTGGGTATGACTGGTGGATATTTTCTCAACTTAAAATCCTGAATGGTATAGCCGGGCATGGTGGCACACGCCTTTAGTCCCAGCACTTGGGAGGCAGAGGCAGGCAGACCGCTGTGAGTTCAAGGCCAGCCTGGTCTACATAGTGAATTCAGGTCAGCTGGGACTACAGGGAAACCCTGTCTCAAAAAGGCAAAAAAAAAAAATCCTGAATGGTAGGGCCAGCAAGATGGCACAGTGGGTGAAGGTGCTTGCTGTGTAAGCCTGACAACCCAAGTTCTAGCCCCAGAACCCACGTGAAGGTGGAAGGAAAGAACTGACTTCACAGCTTCACAGAATTATCCTCTGATCTCCACATGTGTGGCATGAAACCTATCTAAAAAAAAGGATTCTGAATGGTAGAATTGGCAACTTAGATTCTCACTTAAGAATTGAGCTATATTCATATTAATAAGACTTTTTAAAATTATCTTTTTTGGAGGGGTGAGACAGGGTCTCTCTGTATATAGCACCAGCTGTCCTGGAACTCTCCATGTAGACCAGGCTGGCCTTCATCTCACAGAGATCCACCTGCCTCTGCCTCCCAAGTGGTGGGATTAAAAGTGTGTACCACTACATCTGGTTTAAAAGATTTCTTAAAATTCCTGATTCTCCTGCCTCTATCTGCCTCATGTGTGTTGAGATTATAGGTGTGCACCATTATAGCCAATATTATGTGGTGCTGGTGTTTGAGCCCAGGGCTTATATACTACTTCAACAATTGAGCTACAGCCTTCACCCTTGTTGCTCTTGATCATGGTTTTTAGTAGGTGACTTGTTGGCAAGAGTATATGTCTCTTGATTTGGGAGTGCATAAAAAAAATCTCTAGAACTAGGTCTCACCTCTGTCATTATCCTCTAGTGTATAAACTTGCTTTATAGGGTCCATTCGAGTGCTTTTCAAGCAGTTAGAGAATCATTTTACCCACTTAACTCAAGCATCCACATACATGACAGAATTTGTATTTGTCTTTCTGAACCTGGCATAATGGCTTCTGGTTCTATCTCTTTTGTTGCAGATGACGTGATTTCATTTTTCCTAGTGGCTGACTAATATTCCACCATACATATATAACCACATCAATAGTGCCATAATAAACATAAGCATCCATTAATATGTACAATCAATATGGTAATAAAAATTAATTTTTGGCAGTACAAGGGATTGAACATGTGCTAGGCCAGCTCTCTACCCCCATCCATGATCACTGTATATGTGTATCCAAAATTCATAATGCACCCCATAAATACATACTTTTTGTTTGGTTTTTGAGATAGTCTCTTTGTAGTCCAAGCTATCTAGCTTAGAGCTCTCTATGTATATCAGGCTGACCTCAAACTCACAATCCTCCTGAGTCAGCTTTCCAAGTGTTGGGAATACAGGTAGGCCCTACCACCCCGATTAAGTACAATTATTATGTGCCAACTAAAAATGTAAAACTCAGGGCTGAAGAGATGGCTCAGTAGTTAAGAGCACTTGCTCTTGCAGATAACCTGAGTTTGGTTCCCAGTACCCATGTCAGGTGGTTCACAAGTACCTGTAACTCCAGGTCCAGAGAATCCAATACCCTCTTCTTGCCTCCCTAGGCACCTGCATTCATGTGCACATAGTGCTCACACACATATACACATAATTAAAAATAAAATTGATAGGTAGGTCTCACACAAGCTCACCATGTGGAGAGAAGTGTTATTTCTCTTCAGGGCCATTCTACCCTGGCCATGGTATGATGTTTGTCCACAACAACTGCAAGGTGTTCAGATTCTATGAATCCAAATGTCATAAAAACCTTAAAAAGAAGTGCAACCCTCAAAAGATCACATAGAAAAAAGCCTTCTGGAAAGCACCTAGTAAAGAGTTCACAGTGGACAGCTCATTTGAATTTTAAAAAACAGAAATGAACCTATGAAATACTAATGAGAGCTACAGACTAAGACTATTGAAGTAATGAACAGATTGAAGAAAAATAAAGAGCTACAGAAAGTTCAGGACATCAAAAAAGTCAAGCAAAACAGCTGGGCATGGTGGCCCACGCCTGTAGTCCCAGAATTTGGGAGGCAGAGGAAGGCGGATCTCTGAATTCAAGGCCAGCCTGGTCTACATAGTGAGTTCCAGGCCAACTGGGGCTACAGGGAGACCCTATTTCAAAAAGACTAAAACAAAATTTTAAAAAGTCAAGCAAAACATCCATCTTATCTGGCCTCTCTTATGGGCAAAAGAAAGCAACTGGATGAAAAAATGGTGCAATACTAGGCTGGGCGTGGTGGCACACACCTTTAATCTTAGCACTCAGGAGGCAGAGTCCAGCGATCTCTGAGTTCAAGGCCAGGCCAGCCTGGTTTACACAGTGAGTTCCAGGCCAGCTGGGGTTACATGGAGACACTGTCTCAAAAAGAAAAAAAAGAAAGAAGAAGAAGAAAAAATGGTACAACACTTACATGGAGGATGCTTCCTAACCTCACTGCCTATAACCAGCTCTGTGAACACTGAAAATCTTTGGAGACTTACACTTCTTAAGTTAATGATTTGTTACATAATGTTGCTCAGGGGAAGGTAGTTAAAAATGCTTCTCTCTTAAATTGCTGTCTGCAAAGCCTCAGACCATAATACTGCATTGCACCTCTGTCTAGCTTCACTAACAGGCTTCCATAAACATGAAGGCTCTGTGTGTAGACAAAGAAGTGAACTATGAACATAACATAGTTATGCCATTTGGATAACAGCACCTGGCAACGTTTCTAATTACAAAATTCATGGCTAATGAGAATTTTTTTGCAGTGCAATAGTCTGCTCATTAAGGTTATAGAAGATCACAATAAGGAACTAACAGTTCACATGACAACCTTGGTATTCTCTCTCTCTTCCTCTCTTCCTCTCTCTCTCTCTCTCTTTTGAAACAAGGTCTCACAATGTAGTCCTGCTGGCTAGAACTCACTATGTAGAAAAGGCTAGCCTCAGCCGGGCGTGGGGGCGCATGTCTTTAATCCCAGCACTTAGGAGGCAGAGGCAGGCAGATCTTTGTGAGTTCGAGGCCAGCCTGGTCTACATAGTGAGTTCCAGGACAGCTGGGGCTACAGGGGGACCCTGTCTCAAAAAGACAAAAAAAAAAACAAAAACCCCAAACAAACAAAAAACCCAAAAGGCTAGCCTCAAACTCACAGACAAAACACTCATATATATTTAAAATACATAAATAAAATGTAAAACTCTGCCTCCCTCTAAAACATTTTGCGTAAGTTTAAGTTAATGAAAAGATCTAGGAAGGGTTCGATTGGTTTTCTTTCTTTTTTTTTTTTTTTGGTCTTTTTGAGACAGGGTCTCCCTGTAGCCCCAGCTGTCCTGGAACTCACTAGGTAGACCAGGCTGGCCTTGAACTCACGGAGATCTGCCTGCCTCTGCCTCCCGAGTGCTGGGATTAAAGGCGTGTGCCACCACGCCTGGCCTTCA